GTCTTCTTTGAAAATTTAAAATACTTTTAGCTACCCACCTGCTGTAATATTTTCATCAATCTGAGCACCTGGTCTTTCAGAACTTTACTCCAACTCCTCTTGCTGGCGACCGCCCTTTAAAACATAGCCTGTAAAGTGACTGTCCTCCGAGGAAGGGGGGGGGGAGGAGAGACACTCAACAAGAACGTCTGCTAGCAGGCTGTTTAACACACCAACGTTGTTTTCGTGGACGCACATAAGTCGTAACTGAATCTGACCCATAAATATAACTCAATATATATATAAAAAAATCAGGGCCATACGCAGGATTTTTTCACCAGGGGACAGTAAGGCCTATAGACCCTTTGCACTGACGTCACAAATCTTTAGAGTGTCCTCCAGTCTCCAGATGCTCCCTAACAATATCTGTTTGGGTACAACAACCACATACAGCCCAAAGATTAACCATTTTAATACAAAATTTTTATAAAGTTTTGCAAAATTTACTTTGTTTACAAAAGTTAGATTATGCATAGATTGCTAATTTGTCCTCCAGAAGCATCGTCATCGGCGCTGTGACGTCATATGCAAAGGTCTATATGCCGGGAAAAGTCCCAAATACCCAAAGAATAATTAATAATGTCACTCTAAAATCGATTTTAAACAAGACTATCAAGACATCGAATCATGCAACTTTGACCAAAGCCCAATTTTGAGAATTGCAATGTTTAACATACTTCTGTTCCAGTTCAATTTGACCTGCTATCTCTTCTTGTAGTTTTGAACTGAGCTTTTCATTTTGGAACTAGATGAGAACGAAGTTTACACTATAGTATAAGTGAAAATGATTTGTACTTGTCGAAAGCAGTCAGTTTATACAACAAACGGTGATCCATTTGAGAGAATAGCGCAGAGAAATAGTTCATTCGTCGAAACGAAGTATCTCCTCTATTCCTTTGTGTATAAATCAGAGGGCTCAAAATAACGGCCGGTCAACGGACAATGACCGGCCAAAAATGCCTCTTGACCGGTCACTTTTTTACCTCACCGGTCATTTTGACCGGCCACATTTTCATGTCTTCCAATGTGATTGCTGACGTTTTGAATTAAAACATGAAACTATGATCGAAACAACTAGTTTCTACTATAGTTTGTTTCACTGTTAGTGTAAGCGTATCAATGACCGGTCAAAAACAGATTTTGACCGAGCTAAAATCAAGTTGACCGGAGACCTAAGTTTTGACCGGAGACCTATATATCTTCCCGTTATTTTGAGCCCTGTAAATAAGAGAACTATATATAAGAATGCTAGGTTTACTCTTCAGGAATGGCAGGTATATTTTTCACAAAACCATTACCAACATAGATCGCAGTAATCACACCATTTTAGCGAGTTCATTTGGAGTATAATTGGTGCAAATTTTGATTCAGAAAATCCAGATTTTAACTCTATGATTATGGCTATATATACTACCTGTAGTTCCAAAATAGATTTTTTCTGACAGTCTATTGTCTGATTAGCATCTTGAAGCTTTTTTGTCTGAAAATAGAAGATTCGTGGATTCCCAGTTAAATCCCTTTACAATATTATAAGAAAATGATGAATTTGATATAGTTTCCCCCCAAAAACTCTGAAACGCTACCTTATCGTTTAGTTCAAGGTCGGTTTTTGTTTTCCATTTTCGTATTTTCTCCGCTTCTTGATGTAATTTGTTGTGGAGTGCAGATAGTCTTTCTGTTGTCTGGCTCGTCTCCCTTTCTAACTCTAAGGAAATGTTCACAAGATGTTTTTAATGACTTTTATATATGTAGTATTTTCCTACAAGAAATTTTGAATTTCGTAGTTTATTGTTGTTTTTTTATATTTCTTATTCTCTTCTATTTCTCATTTTCATTTCTCATGAGCGAAACACAAAAGAAATCATTGGTGTGAAGGAGCTTGTTTATCTGTTACAAAATCTTGCTGATTTACATAAATTTTGAGTTCATTTTTCTCACCAGATATCATTCAATTTTAACATAGTTATTGAAGAATACAAAGTTTTCATGAAGACAGATCACAAGCTACATTTATACAACCCATTATTAAGGCGTCTCACTATTATTAAGGCGTCTATATTCTTATAAACGCCCTGCTATTAGGCTGTGGGCTGTTGTGCCGAAAAAGTGCCTAGAAAAGCAATTTCGTGGCACCCTCCTGGGAAATAGATTTTCTGCGGTTCAATTCATAGAACCATACATGCTTAATTACCACCGAAAAAGTTACCAAGCAAAAAACTTGCCCAACACCGAGAAAATGGGTGATCAGTGATTATCCTCTATTAAATTGTATTACTGCAAGAAAATGTAAAATTTTGTATTCAATTACAACAAAAGTGCACTTGCATTATAAGAAAGCTTACAAAAACCTACATATAAGACATTTAAACAGTTTTTTTATATCTAAAATTGTTTTCGAGTTATACGCTGTCAAAAACGCGTTTTTGACCTAGTACCCAGTCCTTATTGCGACATTTTGGTGCAATTTTCGCATTTAAAACAGCAATAACTCCAAGACTATTTGAAAAATCAAAAAACTGTTTAAAAGTCTTATATGCGTTTTTTTGTACGTTTTCCGATGATGGAAGTCATTTTTATTGTAATTGTATACAGAATTTCCCATTTTTTTGCTGTAATACAATTTAATAGAGGATAATCATTGATCACTCATTTTGTCGGGATTGGGCAACTTTTTTGCTTGGGAACTTTTTTTGGTAGTGATCTACCTATATGCCTTTCAAATAAACCCCAAACCAACATGGGTGCCACGAAGCGAAATAATTTTGGCCAACAGCCCACGGCCTATATGCAGCATTCGCGTCCATCTTTTATAAGATATATTACAACTACTCGACTTCGGCTCGTGTTTGTATATCTTTAAGTGACAACATGGCCTGTTTGTTGTATGCTATATAGTATATTTTTATATAGTTTGTTGTATGCTATATAATATATTTATATAGCTATTGATTGTGAACTATACCTTTATCCTTTTGTCTTGAGACCGTACTGTTTGGTGCGAAAAAGTTTGTACGAGAAGCTGGCGCACTTTGCTGCAACTGGTTTCCTTGGTTTCCATTTTTATTCGTGTTTGTGTTATAATTTAAGAAATAAGTCCCAGAATTTGTGGAGGAGTTTGCAGTTGTCCTGAAGAAAGGCTGCTGACGCTGTTGACTTGCCATCTACTTGGTAAAATGATGGAGGCTGAGTCCTATATACAAGTCATAACTCACGTCCTTTATTCACATGGTTAAAATAGCCCATATCTTTTGTTTTACATAAAAGTGCAGCAAGAACAACCTTGTTTACATATATTTCCTTTAAATCCTTATTCATCAAGCAGTTTTCGTTGAATTTTGTTCAGAAAAACGTCCAAGCTCGTCTTTCTCAAAAATAGATAATATTTTGAAACGCTCGGGGGAAATCTGTTTGAGTTTTGGCGCCAAAACCGAAGATGCTTCGGGAGTAATCGTCGGCACTTCGTGGCATATTCGTACGCCGCTTAGAGTATGGAAATTTCAAACATGGAGCCACCTTTAAAAGATGATGACTGCAATTTCGTTATGCAGCGGTAATCCGCCAAAAACTAGAAAAATGGAAAATCAAATCGAAAAATTAGTTTCCTTTACAAACGAACAAGAAGCACATTAATTTAAATTGCTTTTTCTCGTTCGCATTTTTAAATAAACGCTCGAAAATGGCTCGACAGCTTCCTCTGACATGCAGTGGCCATACAAGACCGGTTGTTCATCTATCTTTCTCCGATAATACATCTTATGGCTATTTTCTTATAAGCGCTTGCAAAGGTACACTTTATTTCAAGTTAATATTGTCATTGTATAGTCACTGATCAAGTGTCAAATACAATCGATTTTGTAGTACTTTCAATAGTAATGTTTTTGCTGTATGTTTCCTGTTAAATTTTTAAACACTTTATTGTTTTGTTGTACTTTTTGCGATCAGAACTTTAACTCGCTTTTTTTATAATTAAATTTTATGCTTGATTGGTTTTCATCAATGAATCATTGTTGTATTAATGATTGCTGTATAAACTTTTATTGTTTAAGGCCTGTCCAAGCCACTGCAACATGTTGGTTCAGCATCATTTGAAAATTTATATGTGAAAGACAATAATGTCATAAATTCAACATTGTTGATCCATGTAAAAAGCTATATTAATATCCCTGAATCATTGATTCCTTGTTAATTTTTACTGTATTTTATTCCAGATGGCAAGCCAATGTTACGGCAGGGTGAAACAGGGGATTGGGTAGGGACATTTGAGGGTCACAAAGGTGCTGTCTGGGAAGCCACCTTAAATAAAGATGCTAGCAAGGCCGCAACAGCTGGTGCTGATTTCACTGCGTAAGTTGTGGCCACCATTTACATCTAAGGATGAAGAGTTGCAGATACACACATTGTCATTTCTTACATGAAACTTACATGTTTGTCAAGAATGTTTGATGGGCTTTGATTTGAAGACAGTTTAACTTAGCTCGCACTGATTGTCTAAGCTAATTGAAACTTTTAATGTTTCTTTCAAATGTTAAAGTTTTGTGAGAATGTTTCGATCTGCGACTCCCATTCTTAGATGCAAAGACAGTATTTGAAACTAAAGAATGTTTAAACTATATTTGTACAAATGTTAATCTAAAGCCTGATTACAATCTCAAGTAAAGCGTCACTAAAGTTAAATTTGATTATATTTTACATTTGTAATTGTTGATGAAAATGCAGTAAAGTTTGGAATGCGATAACCGGAGAGGAACTAGTGACATTTCAACATAAACACATTGTTAAAACAGTGGATTTTTCTGAGGTAAGATTTCTTCCCTTTTGCATCTTTTTGTGGTAATGCCAGTGTCATTTAATAGGCGATTCTTTATTAACCATTATGCTGCAATGCACCCAAATGAAATGCACATGACTTTATTAATTTACCCTGTCTAACACCAGCACTAATAATTTGGGTTAATTATTGGGGTTGTCATAAGACTCAACAAAAGCATGATAATTATTTTCTAGGATTGTACACAACTTTTGACAGGAAGCAATGAGAAAGTTTTAAGATTATTTGACCTGAATAATACTGATTCAGGTAAGGTGAATTAGGTTTTGATCAAAATTTCCTTTCCATTGTATCATACATGATACATTAATGTCTATATTAACTCATTTAGATCCACAGCTCCTAACTGGCCACAAAGGAAACATAAAATCTGCAGTATTAGATTCTAGTGGACAAAAGATTTTTAGCGGTGGGGATGATAAAATTATTCGGTGAGTCGATGGATATTACATTACCGCAAAAAAAGTGAAATTGCCGTTAAAAAAATTAAAATATTTATAAAAATGGCAAATTGATTTGTAGGTTTTGGGATATACGTACAATGACAGAATTTAAGACAATAGAAACAGGCCACCCAGTCTCTAGTATGGAGATAAATAGAGATGGAACGATACTAATAGTCACATATGGTAACGAAGTGTCATTTTGGGACACCAGCAGGTATGATAGTTTTTTCTCAATATTCCTGAATGGTCTGGCCAGTGTACGTAGTTCAATTATAATAACAAAACTTTGGTTGATAAGGTATGCAACTACCTGAAAAATACAAGGAGAAATGGACCGTTTGCATTATAGACTAAATTTTGATCTAAACAAGTCTAGACAACTTGAAAGAGCATCACACACTATTAGTAATATTCCAAGCTTTGTTGCAAAATGCAGATGATATAGCCTTGCGAAGTTTGCCATTTTTCAGTCATTTTGTATTACAAACGAAATTGACAGCCCCAAAGGGTATTGGGCTGTCAATTTCCCCTGTGTAATGCAAAATGACTGAAAAACGGCAAACTTCGCAAGGCTATATTATCCGCATTTTACAACATTTTGCAACGAAACTTTGGAATATTACTAATTTTGTGATGCTCTTTCAAGCTGTGATGAAATTTTTGTCTAGACTTGTTTAG